TTCCTCACTACATCGAGTTGGGAAAACTTCGGCTACCTGTGCGCTTGTTTGTTCCTCGGGTCATGAATTGCCAAAACTGCAAACAGTTGGGACATACGGCCTCTCACTGTGGCAGCAAGGCACGCTGTTCCAAATGCGGGGAGAAGCACGAGGATGGCGCCTGCACAGTTACTGCACCAAAATGCGTGTACTGTAAGGGAACTCCTCATGGCCTCTCGTCATGCCCGGCGTACAAACAACCCGGGGAGAAACTAGAACGCTCTCTTAAGGAGCGTTCCAGGCAGTCTTTTACAGCAATATTAAAAACAGCCACACCATCAACCAACGACAAAAATCCCTTTGCTGTTTTGTCTGATGACGAGTCTGACTCTGACTTGGCTGAGGATGGAGTTTCTTTCAGTTTTCCGGAACGTTCTGCACGGAAACGAAAACGCATCCGTTCGCGGAAAGCTGCAGATAAGGAACCCCAAATTAGCATGCTTAAATCAAGGAGTGATGGAAAAAACGAAGTTTCAACTCCTCCTGGTTTCCGCAGAACTGACTATAACCAGAATTTTCCATCTCTCCCGGGGACATCAAAAACCCCTGATGGCCCATTTTTAAGAACAGAAGCCCCTTCTTCATCTGGGTTGTTCTCATTTGATAAAACTGTGGCCGATATTCTCAAGTACCTCAATATTTCTGATCCTCTCAAAAGCATTGTTCTGGCAATGCTTCCTTCTGTGAAGACCCTCTTGAAGCAATTGACATTGAAGTGGCCCCTCATTGCAGCAATCATTTCCTTAGATGGATAATTTTCCAAACGAGGTCGGGGATTTGATCACTGTTCTACAGTGGAATTGTCGAAATATCATTCCTAAACTAGATTCTTTTTAGTTTTTAGTTCACAATAATCATTGTGATGCATTTGCTCTTTGTGAAACTTTGCTCTCTTCAGATATCGATCTTCCTTTTTATGATTTTAACATTATTTGACTGGATCGTGAGGACTCGCGTGGAGGAGGGGTACTTTTGGGGCTCAAAAGGTGCTATTCCTTCTATAGAGTGAATCTTCCACAATTTCCAGGTATTGAAGTTGTCGCATGTCATGCTATTAATAAAGGTAAGATTTTTTTTTTCAACTTTATTAGAGAGATTTTTAACCGTTGGCTAGTTCATCTCTAAATTAAAGGTAAGAGCCTTTGTATTGCTTCTGTTTATATTCCTCCTAGAGTCGTTGTTAATCGAAAACAACTTTCAGATATTTGTGCGGTACTTCCTGCTCCACGGTTGATTATGGGAGATTTGAATTCCCACGGTACAGGCTGGGGGGAACTGTATGATGACAATCGTTCTACTTTGATATATGACCTCTGCGACAGCTTTAATATGACAATTCTTAACAATGGAGAAGTAACACGTTTGGCTGGCCCATCCTCGAATGGAAGTAGATTAGACCTCACACTTTGCTCTAACTCATTATCGTTGGATTGCACGTGGAATGTGATCCAAGATCCCCACGGTAGTGATCACTTGCCGATCAAAGCTTCAGTTGCCAGTGGGTTCAATCCGTCGGAACCCGTTAACATCACGTACGATCTTACCCGTAATATCGATTGGACAAAGTTCAAGAATGTGATAGAAGATGCCCTAACGTCGGTAGAAGGGCTTCCACCGTTGGAGGAATATAACTTCCTCTCCAATCTGATCTTGGACAGCGCGCTTCAAGCTCAAACTCGGCTGGTTCCAGGAACGTTTTTCCGTAGGAAACCTCCTTCCCCTTGGTGGGACCAGCAATGCACTGAGGTTTATCGTAAAAAGTCCGACGCGTTTAATCTTTTCCGGAAACGTGGAACACCCGTGCATTTCGAAGCGTACTCGGCTCTTGAACGCGAACTCAAGAGCTTCATCAAAGCCAAAAAACGCGGATACTGGCGGCAATTCGTGGACGGATTATCGCGTGAAACGTCGATGAATACGGTTTGGAATGCGGCGCGAAGGATGCGTAACCGGTCTTCAAACAACGAGAGCGAGGAGTACTCGGATAGTTGGATTCTCAAGTTCGCGCGAAAAGATGATTCCTCGCGAAATGACGAATTCGGTAGACGAGATCAGCCAGCCTTTTTCAATGCTGGAACTCTCACTCGCGCTCCTTTCGTGTGGCAATTCGGGTCCGGGGGCTGATAGAATCAAGTTCAACTTGTTGAAGAACCTCCCAGACGTCGCTAAGAGGCGTATGTTGAACTTGTTTGGTCAGTTCCTGGAGCTTAATATTGTTCCGGGTGATTGGAGGCGGGTGAGAGTTATAGCCATTAAAAAGCATGGAAAACCCGCATCAGATCACAACTCGTATCGTGCATTCGAAAATTGTTGGAGAAAATGATCCTTTTTCGCCTGGACAAATGGGTTGAGTTGAACCACCTACTCTCAGATACTCAATTTGGTTTCCGTAGGGGTAAGGGAACGAACGACTGTCTCGCGTTGCTTTCCACTGAAATTCAGTTGGCTTTTGCTAAAAAAGAGCAAATGGCTTCTGTCTTCTTGGATATTAAGGGGGCTTTTGATTCAGTATCGGTTGAAGTACTTTCAGACCAACTCCACGCTTGTGGCCTTTCTCCATTAATTAATAACTTTTTGTACAATTTGCTGTCAGAGAAACATATGAGCTTTTCTCATGGAAACTCTACAGCTTCACGATTTAGCTACATGGGTCTCCCCCAGGGCTCATGTTTAAGCCTTTTGTATAATTTCTACGTCAGAGAAATTGACAATTGTCTAAGTGACAACTGCACGTTGAAACAACTTGCAGATGACGGCGTAGTGTCTATGACAGGGCCCAAAGGGGTCAACCTGCAAGGACCCTTACAGGATACCTTAGACAATTTGTTTACTTGGGCTATTCAGCTAGGTATCGAATTCTCCACGGAGAAAACTGAGTTGGTCGTTTTTTTCTAGGAAGCATAGCCCAGCACAACCAAAGCTTCAAATTTTGGGTAAACCGATCACTCATTCTATGCCCTTCAAATATCTTGGGGTCTGGTTCGATTCAAAATGCACCTGGAGATCCCACATTGAGTATCTGAAGCGGAAATGCCAGCAAAGGATCAATTTTCTCCGTACAATTACCGGAACATGGTGGGGAGCTCATCCACAAGATCTTCTAATGTTGTACCGGACAACGATTTGATCGGTTTTAGTGTACGGTAGTTTCTGCTTCCAGTTGGCGGCTAAAACGCACATTATCAAACTGGAACGGATCCAGTATCGCTGTCTGCGTATCGCGTTAGAATGTATGCACTCGACTCATACGATGAGTCTTGAAGTGTTGGCGGGCATGTTGCCACTCTCTGATCGGTTTTCGGAATTGTCCCTCAGGCTCCTCACCCGTTGTGAAATTATGAACCCACTGGTGATTGCAAACTTTGAGGAGCTTCTTGAGCTAAACCCTCAAACACGTTTTATGTCATTGTACTACGTGTACATAACACAGGATGTCAGCCCTTCCCAGCATAATCCCTATCGTGTTTGCTTCTCCGACATTGGCAATTCTGTTCATTTTGATTTATCCATGACGCAAGAGATTCGCGGAATCCCAGAGCATCATCGTTCCATGATAGCTCCGTCAATTTTCGCTGCAAAGTTTGGTCAAGTTGATTCCGCAAGATCGTTCTTCACAGATGGATCACTAATAGAGGCGTCCGCTGGTTTTGGTATTTATAACGAATTTCATAGCGCCTCTCGAATGCTTCATGCTCCTTGTTCCGTATATGTTGGTAAAGCACCCCTCGTATTTTCTCATGAAAATACGAGAGTTTCTAAGTGCTTTATATTTAAGATCTTTTGTCATCACCTTTGCATGGGTCCCATCTCATTGCTCGATTGCGGGCAATGAGAAGGCGGATTCGCTTGCAAAGGTGGGCGCTATGGAAGGCGATATTTACGATCGACAAATCGCCTACGACGAATTTTTTTCATTTATCGTCAACAGTCACTCGCCAGCTGGCAAAATAAATGGAGTGAAGGGAGTTTGGGACGATGGCTATATTCAATCATCCCTAATCCCTGATGTCTCGCCTCATGTCCAATCACTATTCGCTAAGCGCTCACTTGTTCCGTGTTGGGCTGGGGGATAGTAATCTCTGTGAATGTGGACAAGGTTATCAGGACGCAGATCACATTATTTGGTCATGTGCTGAGCACCGTGTAGTCAAATCCGAGTTGTACGATTCCCTTCGGGCTCGAGGTAGACAACCTAATGTCCCAGTTCGGGATATTTTGGCTAGACACGCTCTGGAGTTTATGCAACTCATATATGTTTTTTTTTATGAATATTAACCATAGATTGCAGGTTTGATTAACCTTGGGTTTAGTTTGTATTTTGTGTGTGTGTGTGTTTTTTTTTTGTATATTTTTTCTGTAATTACTGTATAATTACAGAGTTGATATAACGTCGATAGGATTAAGTATATGGTTTAGAAATAGTGAAATTTTTTAATCATAAATCTCCTTTTCCCTCTCCCAATCCAAACAATTGTCATCCACTAACCTCGAGAAGACCGCGAGTAATCGGTCAAATCCTTTAATTTTAGATTTAAAACATTTATAATGTATAAAGAAAATGATAACTTGGCTCTGTAAAGTTTATTCGATTGAACCTGTACAAATAAAGTAATTAACAAAAAAAAAAACCGGTTGCAATGAAGTTTGCATGTTTTGTTATATCAGCGAAAAATATGGTAAGTCTCAAAACAGAACTGTAACTTGACTTCTGGACGATGGCATTTCATTATGGGACTGATATGCGATTACTTTCATTAATGGAGCAAACTGACTTGATGTTGTTTTCACATTTTTCATTGATATCTCAAAATTGACGAGAATCCATATTGGACTGATATTCGATTCTAGGCAGTATAAGCCTCTGTTGAACCTGATAAAATGAAGCGTGTGCGTGTTTGTTTGTCATTAAAGCATTCAGAAAAAAATATATTAATTACTTAACCAGTTTCCTCTCTTCATACCTGTATATTTCCAAAGGATTGCGTGCTATTTCCCTGGAACACTGTTTGAAGTATTTCAGTATGATTGATATCGGTGATACCGTTGTTCGATACTATTTTTAGTTCATTGCCTAAAAAAATCAGTCAAGATAGTCATATTTGCTACCAACTTACATTAAAGGTGGTAAACTCCAACCTCTCTCTGATTAATTACCGATGAGGTGAAAGTGACCTAGTGAGTAAATACAAATTTCGAAAATGGTTTTCTCTGAGACATCACTTTGCTCAAAACGGTGATAGCTTTTCCAATCTGAAGTGATTTAAAATTTTTATTTACTCACTATAACAGGCAGGTTATTCTTTACACCACATTTTTTTCTAAACATGTACGCATGTGTTCACTTGCCTGAATTGACTCTGCCGATGTTGATATTACCAATGTCGCCTGTGATTGAGTTTACGTCACTGTCGGCAACGGTCGAAATAAACTCCGTACTGTGTCCACTGAGAGAGGATACGTCATCGCTTATCGTCGAAAACTCGCTGCTCTCAACCCATTGCTTGCACTTTTCTTTTTCATAACCAATTTGAATAATATTACATATTACATTACACAATTAGTATTCACTGTAAATCTTTACCTTCACCTAAACTCGATGATCCTTGTTGTACTGGTTCCTTGTCTTCTGGATTCATCTTGTTGTTAAAGAGAGTTGCTCACATTGATCCGCTTCTTTCAAATTATGAATGCTCACTAGTCAATTTTTCCCAGGGTTGTATGAAGCCGCATGTTGCTTTATCTTATCATTGATATTTGATATCAATTTTGTGTCTTCGATTTCAAGTTCAAGAATTAAAGCTCGATCTCGACAGTACCTACGTTTGAGAAAATGCAAATTTTCATCTTATTAATTTATATAAATCCTATTATTTTAATTATAGTGACATTGCATGCAAAATTTGCACCCAGGATCTCAACTTAAAAAGGAACCACTGCTCCAGCATGGTCTCAAATATTTTTGAATGTACTCTGTTTCTTTAGTTAGGATTCTTACAAATATTACGTCACGCAAGAGGGGATGGGTTATCTTGACTCCGCACAAAATGTCTTGTATTAGGTATATATTTGGTAATCCTTATAACCGGATAGGTTTTTTGGACCGTACACAGCAAAAAATTAATTTTGATATCACATCAAAATGGATGCACTTCAATCGTGTCAAAAATATGGTGTAATACAATACAGTGCATGAACTGATATTACACTGCTTTTACTGCATTTGTTTATTTTTGTGGCCATAAAAATTACATTAGATTTTCGACATGATTGAAGTGCATCGTATTGGATGTAACATAAAAAAATATTTTTTACTGTGTAGGGAAGAGCGCTACTTCGTCGTAATCGCCCATTTCCGTTCTATCGAGCAGAAATTATCAATAATATCAGGCGTAACATTTGATAACGGCACTTAAACTTTTGTAAACAAAAGTTGTAATGCTCTTTACACGCTAACCGCTCTTTACACGTTCTTCGGTTCGCGTGTAGGGGGCCTTACAAATTTTGTTTTCAAAAGCTTTTGTGCCGTTATCAAATGTTACGCCTGATATTAATGATTTCTTCGTGCACAAATGAATAATACGTTTGTTCCGATCCGTTAGTTCATAAGCCACAACATGAAGTCTTACAGCGCATTGTATTTACACTCATTGTTCTCAATCCACTTTTCTACCATCATCCGTAGGACGAAGAAAATCTAATGGCGTTTCAATGCGTTAGGACGGAATTGAAACTCGTACGACGAATTTAGAATCAAGAAGTAGTGCTAGATTTCTAATAATATCTCTGTTTTTTGACTCTTTATCAAACCCAACGGTGGAAAGGTGAATACATTTAGAAGTTATCTTTGATGAAAACATTCCATGTTTTGTTCAAACCCTTCAAAAAAAAGAGAGTTTTTTTTTTCAAAAAAAAGAGAGGACGAAAATTAGATCAAAGACCCTATTATTTTATCGGGATACCTCGATCCTTGAGCTAACAATGCTGATCGCATATCCTTATTAGCGATCCAACGGAGTACAGGGGCAACATTGTGCATCTCGAAACGAAACACTTTTTTTTTACGAACGCTTGTAGGGGAATTTACGTATTCTCGTCAATCTAAGCAGCGTCCGCACTTCTATTAGCATTTTGTCAGCGTTACGCACATATATCACGTGTCTGTTTGTTAACATTCATCTGCTGCTTGCTTCTCTATCCATTCCAATCGACAGAATTTTTCAAACCGGTTTGAAAGCGATTTTACAACGCTCCAAACTTCTCAGGTGAGTGTGACTATTGTCGGCAGCCTCTTTTCCTTTGGCAACCTTCCCATTAGAACTGCGTGTTAACCAGCTGTTCTATTATCGGCAACTCGAAATCAGCCCCATTTTGTAGTGCGTATACTTCATTTGAAGAAAAATCTGGCATAATAGGATTGCTCGGTCGTACAAATATAATCAGATTGAAGCTGAAAGACTAAAGAATCGTTTGAATACATTCAGGGAAGTGTGTTGATGGGAAAACATAATGAAATTATCGTTTAAATTTTGGTTGCCGAAAACAGTCTATGGGTGCCGAAGCCAACATTTACCCTATGTAAAAAAGAATATGGACAAAACAACATTCGGGAAAAATGTGTATTTTGAAAGGGGTTGAGAGACGTTCATAAATCCACTGACTTGCTCTATGTAATATTTGCACGAACCCTTATAGAACTCCCATTATATAGAGAAGAGCTTGCTATTTTCTCTATAGAATGCTTTTGATACGAACATAGTCAACTTACAGGCGTTTTTATTATCGTATAGCTATACTTGCATAGAAGCTAGTACATTTTTGAAAATGGTTCAACTGGACTATCACAGCTTAACTCATAAAAAATGTATGGACAGATTGTGAACGCAAGAGAGAATATCACATTATCACGATGTTTTTAGTATCTATGTGTGTAGGTTAAATCTTGACAAGGCCAAAGTCAATCAACCTTTGAAGTTTAGTGAGTCTGTGAGCTAGAATTTTTATGTTGGCTTGTATAATCAGGAAGAATTGCTAGTTCATTCCACGGAAGTTGTCAAAGAGCGTATTCCATGATGCTACGAACAATCGAACAGTACAGAGCATTCTTTTTCTTTGCATTTCAAGCCTATTGCTTATCGCATATTCCGAGCTCTCAATTTTGTGTTCTAAATGCACTTCCACTGTTATTAATTGAGAGCTTTCGATGTCGGTACCATTTTTGCATTAGTAAAACTGTGTGGCAAGCAGGCATGGAAAATCATTTGCATTCATTTCGTGCATTCATTTACATTAATTTGCCTCTAACTGTTTTTCATCAACAGCATTCCGCAAAATGACGTATAAAGATTTTGTACGTTTTATTATTAGCTACAACTTTTGTCAACAAGTCAAATCCGTATCTCTGATGCATGACGAACCAGATCGAACAGAAGCCACTACTGTTTTTCAGTGAATGTAACAAGTTCTGCCCACTCTAGTTGGTGATGCATAAGTGATACAGATTTAAGATATGAGCAAAAGTTGTAGCTAATAACAAAACCTACAAAAGCTCTATATATCATTTTGCGGAATGCTGTTGATGAAAAAAGTTAGCGGTGCCGGTGGTGTAGTGGTAAGCGTGATTACCTCTCACCCCAGCCAGGCCTGGGTTCAATCCCAGTCGGCGCCGCCGGGATGTTCTGAGGCCCCGGGGTATGTAGATATAAAATTAAGTATTGTTATTTGAAAATGAATATATGGAATCACCAGAATGATAAGAGACAATTGAAAATTGTAAAGAAAAAGTATGTATTAAATTTCAATTGGGATTAATAAGGGATTGAACAAAATGTTCAAAACATGCATATAATGGAGATGGAAACATAAAAGCGAAGCTTCAGATAAAGTTTCAAGAAAATGAAAACTAAGGTAAAAACATATATAGTTAATAATAGTAAACAGTATTTTCTAATATAATTAGTGATGAAAACATTTCAAAGAGATACAAAAAATTTCGACCTATATGTAATGCATGTAGTAATTGAATGATTCAGCTAATAATACAAATGTATTCATCAAAAAAGAGCAAAATATTTTGCAGTATGATTTTGAATGGATCGAAGAGCTAAGGATTGACATTACAGCACACAATATGGGTTAAATTACTGAAAAACAGTTACAAACAGATTTAAAGAATAATTTCATAAAAAAATAACACGTTGAAAAATAATACTAATGACAATGATGAAAACTCAAGAATGGTGACAAACAAGATCAAAGTGGACAAGAAGATTGTACCTACAAAGCGCTTTGGACTAACTCTGCACTAGAATCTCACAGCGAGATTGAATACAAAACAATTTTGAACGGAAAATACCGTCAAAACACACAATTAATATACTGTAAATGATCCCAGAGTCGTAAATGATGTTATGGTTGATAATTTATTAAAGGCTGTTTTATTTTTTACAGACCGTTACAGATGTGGAGATGAACAATTGGACAATGGCATTCGAAATCCAGAATGCACGAGAATTTATGAATGAGTCTAACTGAAATTTAAGTTTACTTACAGATACCCACCGTTTCCTCTCAATTAGCGAAGACGAGCACTTGCAGCAATTTGGCCACTTACAATACATTAATTGAATTGACTAAATAAAAAATTAAACGTTTGGCCAGAGGAACCTGGAACCGAGCATAAATGAATCGAATTACAGATACGTGCCGTTTAAAACCTCATTATGAGAAAGAGAGTACTTGCTGCAATTTCATGACGTAGCCATTCAGATGCTTTGATTAATTGGTGAGTTACAACTACAAACAAAAAGAGTTAAACGAAGTAAGAGAAAAAGTAGGGTAATAAAATAAAAATACTAGCAAAACATGATGAAAGATATCAGAATAAGAAGTATGACACAAAGGAACAAAGTTAAGAGTAAACAAGAAGTGTAATATCGACAATCAGATAAGAATGTTCAGTTAAAGTAATTAATTCTGAATTTGTTTGCTGCAAATAGATTGTATACTGATTATTTATTGTGTAGATGAAAATATGAAATTGTAAAAAAAATAAGAGCAGCAAATAACTAACGAAGAATATTATTAATCATATCTGTCAATGATATCAAAGTATGTAAACCAAGTTAAAAATAGTTGATTCAAAAGATGAGTAGAAAATAATTTGAATATACCAAAGTTATAGTTTAATGAATGTTTTAGAGTGAAATTGATAAAAAAAAATTATCTATAAGAAAATTATTGAAGATACAGAGAAAAAGAGAAAATCGATTTTGAATATCCTTGGATGTACCAGGTGGCGAATCTCAGAGACGGTCAACAGCGAAGGAAGAGTCACATTCAAAATGGCTAGATGACAATCGAAAGACAAATCATGCGGAAGATTGAAGATTGACGGTGTTGGGTAGGATCATCGGAAAAGTACAAGGAACAGGAAGATGGAATCGAGTGGTTTATCGAGGATAACATAATTGATCAACACATTATACTGTATAGATGAGCAATCTTTGGCATAAGCTCATCACACAGCATCTAAAAAGACAAACTACTTCAGCAACGGTTTCGCAAACATCATCATAAAACTACAGAACATACAACGTAACGTTTGATATGACATCATTAAACATCAAACTCAAAAATGGAAATGAAGCACAATCAAGTACACAACTAACGCATGGTATGGCACAAACAATAAATTGACTAGCTGCATATGTAAACACAGATAGAAAACAGTCGTGGATAAAATCCAAAACAAGTTTACATCTTATAACGAAAATCATCAAAGATGTGGAATCATACTACACCATAGAGAAAGTTGAAG